AAAAAAAAAAAGATATGAAAAAGTAAGCGAGGGGAGGAGAGGGGAGGGGACTGTTAGGGGTGTAGAAGGATGTCAAATTGTATGAAGATCACCCAGGAGCAGAAGCTCCAAGAGATGAGATTTTCTAGACATAATGTCCCCTGAGAGCTGAAGTTCTGAGTTTATACAGCTAGACCGCTAAAAATTGAAAAAAACAGATTTGTTTGTTAAGGAAACAACATTATTTCTGTTTTAGTGGCACTGATCAACGAGACACAGTGTAAACATTTTCATTTTCTTTCCTTCCATGCCATTATTAAAATAATACAAATGTCCAGGAGCAAAGTTCAGAAAGCAGGAAGGAAGAGGTTGGAAAGATGACTGCAAATGAGATTCAAAAGGAGCAGGTAGAAAAAAGTGCTATCATGCTATGGGGATGGTAATCAACGTAGTAAAACAAAATGTGTGTGAATGGTTGAATGCAAAAATCAATTTGTTCTAGAACTTTCCACTCAAAGTCAATAGATAACTAGTAAAACGTGTATAAGGGTCTAAGGGGGAAGCGGTGGGGGGTAATCATAGGGTTGCACAATTTGATGGGTGGTGGTAGCGGTGGGTAAAGGAAATGGGAAAGATCTAATGTGAAAAACAATGTATATGAACTTTGTAAGTAAGCCAGTATGAAATAAAAATTTTCTTTAAAAAAAAATAAAGTTAAAACAATGTTCCTAAACATCTGGCAAGTTTAGAAATGTGTAGAAAAGTGGGAAAGGAAAAAAACCCCTCACTACCCATGCAACTGCGTTTTCACAGTTTAAATACATAACTCCAGTCTTTTTACATAAATATGTACTAGTGATTATGCTATGTACACAATTTTACATAGGCTCTTCTTACTATATATATATATATGTTGTTTTCCACTTAAGACATTATAAATCTAATTTTTCATGGCTTTAAAACATTCTCCTGATAATGAATATGGGGAACTCCTGGTGATCTAGTGGTTAGAAACTCTGCTGCAATCCCAAAGGCACACTGTTCGAATACACCAGCTGCTCCTCAGGAGAAGCATGGGCAATTTTCTCTTCTTATCACTAGGCCACCAGGGCTCCCTGAGTTATGTTGTTGTTGTTAGACAAGTACAACTCATAGAGACCCTATAAACAGCCAATCTGAATCCTGTTCTATCCTGTGCCGTCCTCATTATCTCCGAGACATCGGAACCTGTGGGTGAAATCACAGTGTCAAACCATCTTGGGTGGTGGAGTATTCTTCTCCTTTGTTGACATTCCATCTTTTCCAGCATGATGTTCCTCTCCAAGGAATCGCCTCACTTAGCTACATGTTTAAAGAATGAAAGATGAAGCTGCATCATCCTTGCCTCCAAAGAACATTCTGGCCACATCTTTTCCAGGATATATGTTTGTTCTTTTGGAAGTCCGTGGGACTGTTCTCTTCTCCAGCACCACAACTCAAAGGCATAAATTATTTTTTTTTTCTTTTTGGTCATGTTTATTCATTGTCCAGCTGTCTGAGGCATGCTGTTATTGTTATGTGCCATCAAGTTGCTTGCGACTCATAGCGACCCTGTGTACAACAGCCCTAAACCCCGCTCTGTTCTATGCCAATCGCACCCTCTCCGATACACCCATCCGGATTACCCCAGTCACTGAATCAATCCACCTCATAGAGGATCTTCCCCTCCTGTGCTGTCCCTCCAACCTCCCAAGCATGATGCCCCTCTCTAGGATGAATCTGTTTGTTTTCTTAGCAGTCCATGGTACATTCAATACTCTTCTCCAGCACCACAGCTCAATAAGACAAGTGGTATCAGCTGGATAGGATAAATGGCATTTTATTGATACTTTACTAAGAAGTTCCTTAATTACTAGTAATGTTAAGTACTTATTCAGCATTAGTCACGGTTTCTCTAAGGATGTGTCTTTTTTTTTTACTTCTTTTGTCAGGAACTAAGTGCTTTTCTTATTCATTTTACGAACTCTCTACATAATAAAGATATTAACTATTTTATTTATTGCAAACCTTGGCCATATGAGTTGAAAAATGATTCAATAATACCTTCTTGAGAGTCATTATTAATATTTCACCCAGAGGTTAAATTTGGCTGTCACTACAGTTTTCTATTTAAACAAACGACCAACCTGAGAATTTGAGCTGGAATCTTCATTTTTGGTCTTCAGTGGTACCTTTGAGCCTACATTATAAAAATGAAAAAAAAAAAAAAGTTTATATAGTATTGGAGAAAATTATGGGCAAAAAATGAAGAAGTGGAATTCTAGGCCATACTGCACATTTATTTGGTATGTAATAACCCTGGTCTGGTACTATCCTCTTTAAGCTTGTTTCTTTAACTTTAAAGTGAAGGAGAATGTATTAGTTAACATTATGATCCATTTAAAAGTCTATATGCTTTTAAATGATCAAAGAAATTAAACTATTCCAATGATAAAAAAAGTCTATATGCTTTTTTGGCATTTCTGAAATAAAATTATTGCTATTTACTGAAAAACAAAACAAAAAATAACCACATCAACAACCTGAGAGATTACTTCTATAAGGTTATGTAAAACAAATTACCATTTTAAAATAATTTTTATTTCTACTTTGTAAATCATTGCACTACAGATTATTATACAGCTTTATACCATTACTTGGTCTATTAGAATTGGGGAATGGGTGTGCTGCAATCCCGAAGGTGAGCAGTTCGAATCTACCAGATGCTCTGCTGGAGAAGGATGGGCAATCTCCTCTTGTGCCAGTCACATCTGATTCGACGGTACACAACAACAACAAAAATTGGGGAATGGAATAATCAGAAACTATTCTCTATACTCACTTAAAACAGCTGTATCAGAAGTAGGATGGTCTTCCACAAACTCCACAAAGTTAAGAGGGAAAATCCCAGTTCTGTCTCGAAGTTCTCCTCTGGCCCATTCCTCATTCACAAACTCTTTGAGAATAATGGTTTCTCCCTCAGTGAAACTTAACTCATCCCTCTGGTCTCCAATAAATTCAAACCGAGCAACACATTTTGAGCGTCTGGGGAAAAAAAGAACTTATTTGTGGGTTAAATGAGAGAGTACTTGATCTTTAAAGTGCTTTAAAAACCTATACTTGTTTTTTCAACAAGCATATTAGCCCTAATTTTAAAGTTTTCATGAAAAAGAATAAGCTACATTTATTCGTATTCACAATACCTATGGTAGTCAAGAAATCAAGACACTTTGCACAAGGAGCAAATCTGCTGTCAGGTACCTCTTTAAAGTTCTAAAGAGCAAGAATGTTAGTTTAACGACTAAGGTGTACCTGACTCAAACCGTGGCATTTTCAGTTGCTTCAAATATATGTAAAAGCTGGACAACCAATAAGGAAGATGAATTGATGTTTTAAAGTTGGTGAAGAATATTGAGTATACCATGGACTTCTTTTTTTTTATTTTATTTTATTATTTTTGTGTGCGTGTACCGTCAAATCAGATCTGACTGGTACAGGAGGAGATTGCCCCTCCTTACCCGGCAGAGCATCTGGTGGATTTGAACCGTTCGCCTCTGGGATTGTAGTTGCATCTCCTTGCCACTAGGCCACCAGAGCTCCCCTACCATGGACTTCTAAAAGAACAAACAAATCGGACTTGGCGGAGGTGTAGCCATGGTGCTCCTTAGAGGTTAAGAGTGGTGAAACTAATGCCTCACATTCTTAGGGCGTGTTGTCAGGGGGGATCAGTCCCTGGAAAAAGACATCATGCAGGGAAAGGTGGAGGGTCATTTAAAGAGAGAAAAGCCCTCAATGAGATGGATTTACACAGTGACTACAGCAATAAGCCTCAGCCTGGTGGAAAGTGTGAGGAAGCTGCAGTATAAAACAAGGTTCTAGGGAGCTCTGGTGGCTTAGTGGCAAGAAGCTACACTGCAATCTCAGAGGTGTGCAGTTTGAATCCACCAGATGCTCTGCTGGAGGAGGGACAATCTCCTCCAGTACATGCACAAAAAATAAAAAGCAAAACAAAACACAACAACAACAAAAAACATCAACTCACCAAAAGTCAACCCCCCCCCAAAAAAAAAAAACTCAAACCCCAAAATACCCTACCAAGGTTCTGACATATTATTTATAGGGTCATCGTCAGCTTAACAGCACCTACCAATAACACTTAACTTTTGAAAATCGGACCCTATTCACTCAGAAAAGTTTAAAAAGGGTCAAAATGACAAAGGTCACATGGATCCCAGGCAAGCAATGAGCGATCAGTTTCCACTGTGGTTTGTCCATCATGTTTACTCTGTTACAGAGTCTCCCCAGTTTCTATGTATGTGTATCTTGTTGTTGTCAGTGGCTGTCATGTTCACTCCAATTCACAGTGACCCTGGTCCTGAACCACCCTTACAATCACTGCTATGTTCGCGTCCATTGTTGCAGTCAATCCATCTCACTGAGGGTCTTCTTTTCGCCACACTGGCCTTCTACTTTACCAAGCATGATGTCCTTCTCCAAGGACTGTTCTTGTTGTGTTGTTATGTGCTGTCCAGTAGAAACCAACTCAAGTTGACTCTCAGGCAGTCTTTCAGAGGTTGTAAATGGTGTGGGAGGAGAATGTCTCTTTTTCTCCCGGGAGCAGCACGTGGATTCAAACTGTATGCCTCTGGGTTGGCAGCACAATTTCTTACCACTAGGCCACTAGAGCCCCCCCTCTCCAAACTATGAAAGTTGAAGTTTTACCATGCTCACTTCTAAGAAGCATCTGTCTGTACTTCTCCCAAGATAAATTTGTGTGTTCCATTGTATAGTCAATATTCTCTCACCATAGGTGACTCTGCTGGTATTTAAAATATGAGAGGGATAGCTTCCAGCATCACAGCAACACACAAATCATGACAGGATGACAAACTGATTTGTATGCAGAAGCAATAGCAACCTAGAACCCAGCCTGAACCTCCACACCATAATGCGTTGAGTTAAGGAGAGTTAATTGTTAAGGAGAGTTAATTCTAAGGGAGGAAATCAAACTGCCCTGGTAGAACCCAACAAGTATTAGGGAAGCATGAAGGTGCTCAATATATGTCAAATCAATCATCGAGCTCAATGTACAAACAAGCGGCTTTTCAAAACTAGGAGAAGGCATGAAGGAAACAGAAACTCGGCCTATCATCTCATACCACTTAATCCTCTACCTAACACCGCTGTTTTTAAAAATGATTTTTGTATCTCCTTTAAAAAGTCTTCATTTCCGAGAATTGGAATGATCCTTAAACGATCTGTAATTGTGACTGCAAATAAGATAAGAGCAGAGATAAAACTGTGTGTCTGGAAGGCATGATTTAATACCAAACCTTCGATTTGAGGAACACAGGCTTTAGAAAGGTTTCAATAGCAACAGGCTAAGGAGAAGCAATTGCTGGAAGAAAAAAGGTTGGTCCTGACTCCAATCAAATTCTGATTTAAGTCAGGTCAATGGATCAACGGCTGTGAAAGCCTACTTTAAATTCAACCTGCTGACACAGTAAATACTGTTTAAAAATGGGAGAAAAATTGAACCTGAGACAGGACCCAACTATTCTAGCATCAGAAGTTTTCTTATTTGTGATAACCTTTGCATTTATTTTCTAACGTCCTCTGGGAACATCTCCTTATGTCTGACCTATTCAAAGACAGGTTTACAGTCTTCAGCAGGTAGTGAATCCTATTAATTTGCTCATTTAACTATAATATAAAGTTCCATTGTGACAGTGTTTTAAATTACAAAGGAGTTCCAATGATGCATAAAAGACTATATAAATGCACAGAAAGGTCCTCAGACATGAAGGCAAATCATTCTCATTTAACTCTTCCCTCACTCACTCCTAGTTACTCTTGAAAACAATACAAAATACCTAAACAAACAAACAAACAAGTGTCTAGCAGTTTTTACAGTTTCCTGCCACTAGGCCACCAGAGCTCGCCAAGCAGTTTTTACAAGATTTATGTTTCTATAAGGTTTGCCCACTTTATACCATGAAAACATCTGAATCACTACTTGGTAGGTCAACACCTGAAGATGTTGATCTATATATTTAGCACCAGATGACATTACAGGTTGACCTGTGTTCCCCTAAAAATACATGCTGGGGTCCTAATTCTTGCACCTGTGGATTTAAGTCTATCTGGAAATAGTCTGTGTTATGTTAATGAGGCTCTATCAGCAATGTATGTGTCCTAAATTTTTTCCAAGTTACAAAAAAGCAGATTAGTAGAAAAGAGGTAAGCACAAATGAGACAGCACATGAAGACTGCAACAGGTAAGAAAGCAACATAAAACTAATATTTAATGATAGTTTAAAAGGGAGTTGTTATTATGTGCTGTTGAGAGTGACTCATAGTGACCTATGAACAACACATATGAACTCTGTCCTATTCTGTGCCACCTTCGTCATCTTTAGCCTATCACTGTGTAAAGGATGGTTCTCTCTTTCTGGGACATTCCACCTTTCCAAGTATGCAGACCCTTTCCTTCTACAGACAGAAGGACAATGTAAAGAGTATTTCTTTTTTGAAGGTAAAACAGTTGTTGTTATGTGCCATCAAGTTGCCTGCAACTCATAGTGACCCTATAGACAACAGCTCTGAAGCCTGTCCTGTCCTGAGCCAATCTCATTGACTCCAACACACCTAACCCTAGTCACT